GACTGCCCTCACCCCCACCCCGTAGACTGGCTACACTCCCCTGGCTCGGAGTTACCCTAGCTTTCTGGAAAAACTGGTCGACGGACTACTTGAACTCAGCCCTTTAAACCGCCTCTGCGCTCTCTCGCGGGTCCCTCTCCTCTCCAAGGCTTAGTCCTAGGGCATTCACCCGTTCTCTAATCGTCTGTGCTCTAGCCATCGCGGCAGGACCATTGAGGAAAAATCAAGTAGTCCGTAAACCGGGAAAACTGATCATGATGCTCCTCTAACCGGAATAGACATAAGCTGTCTATTTCTTGTGCTAAAGTAGTCAACCCTTTTAGCAATTGGATTCTCACATTTTATTCAATGTCTTTTTCAAACTATCCGTGTTATAACTAGTTATCCTCGCAATATGCCCTCTCATGTTCTCACAAATTATAGTCTATCTTGAAAGTTCAGCCGGACTCATTCGAAGAATTTCGCAACCAATTGTCCTGCACGACTTGCATTACTACGAAGCTTATGCGTGCATTCTTCGCGGCATTGTGTTCTGGAGTGTCGTAATACTTATTTCTATCCGTTCGTTTACGAGAATGAATTGAAGCAGCCTTGATCAGCCTCCTCAGTAGCTTGTTTCATACATTTTAAAATTTGATGTGCGCCGGTTCACCCTTGTCAGAAGTTCGCTGTAAGAGAAAGTTTTTTTTTTGAAATTATTACAGTTGAAAAATGAATGGTGTCCTGGGGAGCTTACGAGCTACGCATCGGTTTGGATCAGCTCTTCTCCGACCATGCAGTATTGCAACACCTTCTGTATCTTTTCAAGGTTTTTTCAACTGTTTTTTTTTTTGAATTCTTGTTTGTTCAATTTCGGTTTCTTTTTAAGCAACTCCTTGCTTCCGATCTCCCCAGCTATATCAAAGACAATATTGTTCAGCCAGTGAACAGTCTGTCAGTGTTCCTTCAAAAGAAACATTGTTTCGAGTGGATTGGGTTTTAGAACATGTTGTAAGTAACAACAACGAATATGATTTAACCAGTGCTTAACTGTATTTTGTTTCCTTTAGACGCCTGCTGTTTTAAAATCGCGATTGAAACCTTTCTTCGACATATGTTTGGATGACGTCTCATTTGAGGACAAGCTTTACAACTACAAGTTTTCTCGAAAGTCACAATTGTTTATGCATATTGCTAAAATAAGGTTATATTTTCGTTATAAGTCGCCCTATAATAAGATGGAGGTTAGTTCGTTGGTTGCGAAATATTTAACGATCGCAACAGTATAAGTGCGATTTGCAGAGGATTGGTTCGTGTATCTATGAAAACGAAGATGTTATCGTTTTATTATGGCGACTAAGTACGTTAGAATCCAGTTTTCTGGACGTATTTCCCATCATTCATCACAAAAAGAGAGGTAATTCCAGCATTTATTCATATATTTATTTACATATTTGATTTTTCGGTTAAGCACAGAGAGAGACCACATCAGAGTGACGAAATCGTTTCTTAATTATTAGCATCACGATTGCCTTAGTTTGATCATTCAGCAGAAGTGCTGATCAATAACTCATTAGGTCGATATAAAAATTAACTAATACTCAATAAGTGTTGAAAAGAGATCCCTTCAAATATTTGTGAGTGTCGTTAAGTCTTTTGGCAGTAGTGTACAGTAGTGGGTCACGCTTTCACACAAGGAGACCGATCGTGCTTGATTCATTTGGTACTTTTCATCTTCCAAAGCTGTCCATGTGCATTATTATATAAAACACAACATGTTCATTACTAATTAGGAATTTATCAGAGGATCAAAACTACTTATGTAAAATAAAAAAGAAATCGAGGTACACGCTTCGTCACTTATTGCCTGATTATTACACTGATTATTCGTATTATCTTTATAGCTCTTTATCCTGTTGATATAAGATTCAGCGCTCTTCTAATAAGAGGTATTTTCCTGCATATAATCTGAGACATCCTCCCATAGGCTTTTTTGTTATAAAGCTCTATAAATATTACTAGCTAACATAGCTTTCTTTTGCACAGGCAATTAGGTTCAACCACCGCGGACCATTTTTCCTTCAAAAATTGGGGTTATAGTAGTCGGCACGAACTATTGAACCGTACCTGAGTTGAAGAATTCTCTCAGGCCCAGGTCGGAGCTCGCACTCAGAGAAAAAATGGGAAAACCGAAATTTATAATCCCAAATGTGCTTCCTGTAGTGGTAACCGATTTTCGCAGATCGGAGGAGACAGGCCGCATATAAATCGATTGCGTTTCCTCTTAAGCTTCACTGAAAGAGCGTCAAACGTACTCTTTCGTTGGATATTGGAAGGACGACGTCATACTTTGCGATAGCTTTAGTTCTTATTGCGATAGCTTTAGTTCTTTACTCGGATGCATTACTGAACTCCGAACCCTCGGAAATGAAGCGACGATTCGCATTACATTGCTTGGAGATTAATTTTTCCTCAATTTCAGCCAAAAGTGAACGTAGTCGAAGGAGCTCTCGACATTCATATCAATCGAGAAGGATATATTTATAAAATTGTGAATAGAAAGGTGTGTTTTCATTTTACGCCTTTCCTATTTTCGAAATTATTCTACCTTGTCTAGATCACGGCATCTGATCGTGAAGGTGCAAAGGTAATGGAAGTTATGAAAGCCGAGCAGGAGGAAGCGCGAAGGAAAGCTGAAGAGAAGGAGCTTCGTCGTCAAGCCGAAGCACTTCTTGAGGAGGAAAAACGTCGAGGAACCGTTTAGGGTGCCTCCTAGGTCAAAGTGTCATAGTTAGGTTTTGTTAAGGTCATACCTGTGTTTTAATTTTCTTGTTATCGAGCAATGCTTACCAGCGGTGGGCTTATTGAGTGTTATCATTGTTTCAAATGTTGTTTTTGAGAAGATAGTGTGTAATGTATTTAATATGTAAATAACACTTACTACGAATGACTAAGCTTGGTTCAATCCACTCGTATCTTTTTATTTATCATTTTATGAATTAATTTACTCATTTCGCCGGTTCTGCGTTACAGTTGACCTCCATAAGCGGGGCGAATGCTGCGGCGTTTCGCGCCATGTGCACTGCGAGCCGCAGCAGATCAGTCGTCATATTCTCGTCGACCGTTGTCTACTGATGTGGATCATTCACACGAAAAGCCGCTCCCGTTCCAGCTAGAGCATGTACAACAACGATTGGTGGCGACGGTGGGTCTCATCAGCTACTTTTTGCTCATTCTCTCAAGTGTTACTAGTTCTAGGTGCCGTTCGATGTTCAAGGAACGATTAGATTACACTTTTTACCGCAAGGATGTTTTCTGTGATGACCAGATATTCGGCGTGAAGAGACAGTGAGTGGCGTTGCAAGTTTGCTTTTCCGGCGCTCTTGTGTGTAAGGAGAACATTGAAGCGAGTGAGGCTAATTGGGGCTAAGCCTCAGGAAGGGGAAGTGACTCGCCGAGTGGAGTGAGCCTCGTTCTCTCTGGCCCTTCTCCCCTCCTCATAGGCTTAGCCTTATTATAACTTCTAATTGTTTTTAAACGCCTTGTTTTGAGTGCCCTCCTGAAGACATGAGCGCCATTTTTCCTTCCTAGAAGTGCTCGTGATTCTATACAATTTGAATTGTTTTTGGAATCGGATAAAGATAGATCCCGCATGCCTTTTTTCGAATGCCTACAACCGCTAGTACTACAAGAACTGAGCGCGTCACTTCGCCTCCTGCTTGGGTGTTGCGTGTTTTGGAAAGTGCTCCGCGCCCGCATGGTATTCCCGCATCGAAAAGTCTTCAGTGCCATAACACCACCATTTTTCCAGAAAAACCACTCAAACCCTCAGAACTTCCAGAAAGCAGCGGTTTAAGAATAGTTATATTGAGTTGTTTGGTCTGATATGCATTTTTCAACACAATTTTAGTGGCATTGATCAATTCATGCATCATATCGGGATGATAAGCATTGTAGGACAATTCACATTGCCTCACGTCCACATGGAGGTAATTCTTTTCATAATCTGTGAACATCCTACATTCTATTATTGTTCATTTTCGTCGCTGTTTACCTTTATTAACTATTGATTAGCAGTGCTTGTTATAGACCGTCAGTGTCATACCTGTCATTGAAGATGGTACCGTACGGTGTCGGTGGCGGGTGAACTATGTGTCATTACCGCGGCTCATCATGAATCCTCGTTTATTTAGATATGATTACCGCATAAAGAATGTAAGTGCAGGGCATGGTGAAATTGGTTTCAATAAAAGCATATTAATTTCAGCTTAGTTGGTATGATGGTTATTCCGTGTTCACAGTTCGATGGAAATGGCAATGTCTTCAAAGTAACGATACAAAAGGTGAATGCAACCTTGTACTCCCATTTTTTCCCATATTTGATATCTCTTTGTTTAGACTCAACGGGATGAAGGGATGTTAATCGATGAGAAGAGTGCCAAGGATAAGCTGGCCGAGAAAATAGCGGTTTTCCGGCCTGGCCCAGCGACCACAAACTTTGTACCTCAGCGACGACCTAAAGATGAGCCAGATAGCAATTGGTGAACGATAGCAGGATCTGTTGATAATTTATTCTCATCTTGAGCTACTTTTACTACCTACCATTTTATCAAATCAGCTGTTGTTGGACAGCGAATTGTTTTAGGATAGGCAATTGAAGAAGCTATATACTACTGCCCTTTATTGTACCTTTGTTTAAGTCGTTTAGTTTATAAGTTGCTGAATGCTGCAAGTAATAGTTTCCGGGTTAAACGTTCCTTCCTCCACAAGACGTTTCGGGAGTATTTCACGACACGTAAGACTTCATGTTGTTTAGGGTAGGATAGATGAGCATTAATGCTGTATAGATTGTTATTGATTGCTTTTGTCCATGTGTATTTTTGTTAATACACGTTTAGAATTGTGTCATTTTCATTTATTATTACTGGTATTTTTTCCAGTGTTGTACATTTTTATTGCCTGCGATGTTATTAGCCTTTCGCAGACTTAGTGGTTATTCTGTTTTGCAGGGTTCAAGAACGATGCTATCTCGCCATTCCGTTCGTTGCGCTCATGCAGCAGCTGCTTCGCGTGCAGCTACCAGTAAGGTCAGGTATTCATTTAGCAAGGGCTGTGCAAGTATTGATTCACAAATTTTAGGCCGAACAAATCACCAAGTTGCCAAGTGGTCTCACTGTTGCGTCCATAGACAATCAGGGTCCCATCAGTCAGTTGGTGTGTTTATTTCTTATGACCCTATTCTAGTCAGAAAATTTGTGCTTTTCATGGTTTAGAAAAAAAAGCGTATTAGCATTGTACATATCGCTGAACAGGGAGTACATCATTTCTCATTACACAACTGGAAAGCGTTTTTTATTTGGACTGGCTGTCGCAGTAGTAATTTCTACAGCAGCTGCGTTAGAATGAGTCAAGGGTTGGAGTGAGAGCTTTTCGGTGCTCACCTTTTCAGCAGGACCTAATTCGCTCCTATTGGCACAAGAGGAAAGGGGCATTTTGTGCTGCAATTTTTCTGACTGCGGCCAACAAGAGAAAACACTCGCAACCTGTTATATCTGCTGAAGCTGTAGGAAGTACGGAAGCCAGCAAACCAAAGCAAAGCATTTAGACAGCTAACAAAACAAACCAAAAGAGCCTGAATAAGTTACTAAGGAGCGCAGAAATGTAACCTCTGGCTATCCCGGTGAACAACTGTAGTTTTCACTTTTTGTTTTGTTAACTGCTGTTTTTCTGAAAGATACCGCAGATGATGCAACTGCCGGCACGTATTCTTTGTCAGGTGCCTGAAGTCTTTCTGCGGTTTCTGAAATGTTTTCTTTCATTAGCAGCAAATGCCTCACCCTCTCCCATACACCAACAGGCACCCCTAATCCCTTTGAAAGTTTGTGGCTGTTGGGTGGCCTTTCCTGCCTCCCCTTCATTCGATCTTTGATTGTAAGCAAGGGGAGATTCCCAGTAACGGGTCACATGAGCCTTCTGATATCTGAATCAGCGCTTCTTTTTGTTGGGAGTAATTCCATGCGCGATGATCCCACATGGATAATGTGATTATTTTACGTTCTCTCTGAATTTATGAAAGCTTAGGTAGGCCGTCTCCCAAGAGGCATAGGATGAACGGCACCAAATTACCGGTGGTAAGTGCTCTTGCTTAAGGAGTAAGAA